CTATGAGTCGGGTTTGACTCGACGGCACATAACAACAACAACAATACTAGATGAATGGGACCTTCTAAAAATTAAATTCTTAAGTGCATCAAAAGACTTCTTCAAAAGAATAAAAAGAGAACCTACAGAATGGGATAAAATATTCTGTAATGACATGTCTGACAAAGGATTTATCTCTAAAATTTACAGAAAACTCCAACACCCCAACATCAAAAATACAAACAATTCAATTAAAAAATGGGCAGATGACATGAACAGACACTTCATCTAAGAAGATATTCAGACAGTCAACAAACACATGGAGAAATATTCGTGATCATTAGCCATTAAAACCAAAACCAAACTCACTGCCGTCAAGTTAGTTCTGACTCACAGCCACCCTCCTTAGGTTTCCAAGGCAGTATCTCTACAGAAGCAGATAGAGAGATACAAATCAAAACAAAAGTGAGATACAATCTCACTCCAGCATTGATACAAAGTTCAATAAGACAGAAAATTACAAATGCTGGCAAGGATGTGGAGAGATTGGTACTCTCTTACACTGCTGTTGGGATTGTAAAATGATACAACCACTATGGAAATTGAGATGGCAATTCCTTAAAAAGTTGGAAATAGAAATACCATTTGATCCAGCAATCCCATTACTAGATATATCCCATTACTAAAGAAGTGAGAGCCAGGATACGAGTAGATATATGCACACCCATGTTTATCGCAGCACTAGTCACACAGAAAAGAGATGGAAACAACATAAGTGTCCATAAATGGAGGAATAGATAACCAAAGTGTGATATAGACACACAATGGAATACTGTACAACACTAAAGAATTATGTAGAATCTGCAAAACACCACATAACGAGGATGACCTTAGAGGATGTTATGCTGAGTGAAATAAGTCAATTACAGAAGGACAAACATTGTATTAGTCCACTACTGTGAGAAGTCAGGGAAATGTTTACACATGGAAGGGAACTTTATTGGTTACCAGGGGTGGTGGGGGGAATGCCTAGATATGTTGGAGGAAACAAACAAACAAACAAACAAACAAA